AATACAATGATAATAATAATAATCCAAAATTATTCATAAACGAACGGGGCGTCACAATATCTTTACTCAAAAGGAGCTCAACATGAGACAGCGCCGTTGGTTAGAGCTTGTCAAGGATTATGATTGTATGATTCAATACCATCTAGGGAAGGCGAATGTCGTTGTCGATGCCCTAAGCCGCAAGGTGAGGGGTGACTTGACGTATGTTGTTACTCAGCAGAGTCGTCTGATTCAGGAGTTCGCCCAGATGCAGATTCAGGTGGATGATGCACTTTCTACAGCCATTACAGGAAGTGTCAGTTCCATGCAGGTTCAGCCGACGCTGAGGGAGAGAATTCGGCAACAGCAGGCTTCAGATGAATTTATTCGTGCGATTGATGCCAAAGTTCGCGCCGGAGGCGTCGAGGGTTTTCACCGAGGCACTGATGGGTCCTTGGAGTTTCGCGGCAGGATTGTGGTGCCAAAAGTCGAAGCGTTGAGAAAGGAGATTTTGACTGAGGCTTATACCGCACCATATCTAGCCCATCCAGGAAGCACGAAGATGTATCATGACCTGAAAAGGTCGTTCTGGTGGTGAGGGTTGAAGAAAGACGTAGCCGACTTTGTGAGGAAATGCTTAACCTGTCAGCAAGTCAAAGCCGAACACAAGAGTCCCATAGGCCTTCTACGACCATTGCCAATTCTGAAGTGGAAGTGGGAGGAGGTTACGATGGATTTCGTCACGGGGTTACCGAAGTCGTCTGAACATCACGACGCTATTTGGGTCGTGGTCGACAGATTGACTAAGGTTGCTCATTTCTTGCCTGTATCGATGAATATGTCTTTGGACAAATTGGCTGAGTTTTATACCCGTGGGATCATTCGACTCCACGGAGTGCCTGTTACTATCATGTCAGACAGAGATCCCAGATTCACTAGTAGATTCTGGCAGAGTTTGCACGAGGTGATGGGCACGAAGCTATCATTGAGTTCAGCCTATTATCCAGAGACTGACGGTCAGTCAGAGCGGACCATTCAGACGTTGGAGGATATGTTGCGAGCTTTGGTTGTTTACAGGGGTGCTAAGTGGGAGTCGTTATTGCCATATGTTGAGTTCGCGTACAACAACAGTTATCATTCGTCTATTCAGATGGCTCCTTACGAGGCACTTTATGGTCGTAAGTGTCGTTCCCCTCTGTATTGGGACGATGCTGGTGAACGTCGAAATTGATCAAGGAAACGGCAGAACAGGTCGAGTTGATCTGGCAGAGACTCAAGACAGCTCAGAGTCGACAGAAATCTTCAGCCGATCAGCATCGACAAGATATTCAGTTCGAGGTTGGCGAGCGAGCGTTTCTCAGAGTTACCCCATTCCGCGGAGTTATTCGATTCGGGAAGAGAGGGAAGTTACACCCTCGATTCATTGGCCCGTTCGAAGTACTCGAGCGACTGGGCGACGTTGCGTATCGATTAGCCTTAACTCCCGAGTTATCCAGTGTTCATAATGTTTTTCATGTATCCATGTTACGCAAGTACGTGTGCGACCCCGATCATGTCATTCCTCATATTGATATTCAGATCCATCCAGATTTATCTTACTAGGAGCGACCGGTAGCAGTGTTGGACCGACAGGTTCGACGGCTCCGGAAGCGTGATGTTCCCCTCATTCGTATACAGTGGGATCGCCACGGAGCCACTTGGGAGCAGGAGGCTGGTATTCGCGCTCGTTTTCCTGATTTTCAGTTCTGATGTATATGTTCTTTCATGTTTCATGTATATATGTTCCGTTTTGTATTTCCGAGGACGAAAATATTTAAGGGGGGTAGATTGTAATATCCCGTCATGTTATTAATGTAATATCATGTTTAGTTCCGAAATATTTATTTTATTAAGTGTTATCGTTCGGAACTATTTGTCCAAGTTAAGAACGTTCGAATTAATTTTCAAATGTTACGTTTATGTTCGGAATAAATTCGGATAATTAATTCATGTCTAATTGCTTGATAATAATTACCGAGCAAGATCATTAATCAAGCACGCCCTAAAGCACGTTTAATGTGCTTGATCATGTGTAGTACTCGAATCATTGGCTAAGTAAGCAAGTTCATTTGCGCCTAAACTCATGCTTAGAATATTAATTGCCGAGAGCCATTACTTCTTCAAATGTTCACGTGAGTCTCATCATGACACAAGACACATGGTAGATTGAGGTAAGGTTGGGAAGTGACTAAGCAAGTATGTTGATGACTAAGCACACAAGTGCCACCCTTGGACACTAGGCGCGCGGCAAGCGGCCTTAAACCAATGGTCGAGACCTTTACTTCCTAAATTCACCAACGTTTACTTGCTATAGATCAGAGATTGAGGGTAAAAATTTTCAGCATACATCTTAAGCATACACTAAGCACTACTAAAGAGAGATTAAGATAGATTAATCCATATTGTAGCGCACGCACGCACGGAGAAGAAGGGACCGAACGATCACTTGAATTGTGTCACTTTTCATCGGGAGATTGAAGGGTAAATCTCATACTGACTTCATTATAATGTTATCATGCTCAT